CAGCAGGATGACGCCAACTGCTAAGCCCTTTTTCCAATAGGCAGCAGGGCTTTCCATAGATGATGTTTGTCCTTTAAGCAATTTGGATAGCAGATTTTGTATCCTAGCTTCCGGATTTAATCTCAAGCACAAGCAGCACATATTGCTTTCAATCCTGAAACTCATTTAAACCAACATTTGTCTCACATTAAAATGGAAAAGTCAGAAAATAGTCACTTGACCTAGGGAGGGGAAATGGACAGCTTATTACTTCTTTCAGCAGAAAAAGGGAAAAAACCTATTTTTAGTTTTCTGATGTGTATCGCTCTGTCCACAGAATCCTTTCCCATATTACTGTGCACTCTCCAGTCCCTCTCCTCCCTCCCTATTGCATTCTGCTTTTCCCTTTCATATGTTATCCATCTAATTTAGTTTGTAAGCATCTCAGCTCAGGACACTTGTTTATTTTTCTGTAGTACACTGCACACATCCAGGTTTTATTAAAAAATAGGCTGTGTTTCTACCATGCAACTAATAAAATATTTGCTTGTCCTTCATTATAAATTAGGATCAGATTCAAACACCCATCCTATACACATAAAAACTTTTGGAGTGCTTGAAACTTACACATTATTTTTAAGTGTCCGCTGTCTTATGTGGATGATGCCAAAATGACTGGAGTTACCACATCAAGATTTTAAGTTGAATTTCATATTTCAAAAACTTTAGAAATTAGCATCAATAATTATTTTATTCTTTACTTATAAATAGACTTTTGTAATCAGCAAACAGAGCTGTGTAGTCCTAATAGTATACTGAGGTACACAATAGGAAGAGGACTTCTGAACTGCTTTGATTCAGGCTTGGGCAGTGGAATGGAGAATATTTTTAGTGAGCCCAAATAAATTCTATCCTGAAATGTTATCACAACATATTCTCACCTTTGCACTTCTGAGGAAGTTTTTTCTGTTTAGTATTTAAAAACTGAGAAAGAGCTATAATAGAACTTAGCTGGGAAAACCTTCTGAACAGCTCTTTTGGGTAACTACAAGTAACAACTCTTGAACATTTACATAAGCACACCACTGCACTTACAGACTATTACAGACATGACAGGAATTTCCATCTTGAATATTAACACAAGAAAGCATTGTGTTTGAACTGTTCAAGGCACAGAAACACGTTGGTTTTATAGTTTGCAACATACTTGGCATAGTTTGCTTTTAGACATTTCTCTGTCTTCTGCCCGTGCAACTTGGCTGAAAATAACTGCTTCTACAGTCCTTTCTGCAGTAAGTAGTTAAAGGAATAAAAAGATTTAAAAGTTTTCATTATGTTATTCATTGTGTTATAGCATTAAATGTTGACATGAACCTTAAATGTCCATTTACAGTTCTATAAATGTCATCACTGACAACAGAACTACTTGCTACAGCTTTTAGTCAAAGAAAGCACTTACTGTTGGGGCTCTTAGAGGCACATCCATCAGTGTGTAGGCATTGGCTTCCAAGCAATTCCATACATTGAAGTGCCGCACAATTTTGGTGCTGTTAGGGTCCTCAGAAGGACAAGAGATCCTGCTTTGAATGGGCTGATTATTCAGGTGAACAAAATCTAAACAAAAAAAAAGAAAAGCTCTCCTCTGAGTTTAAGTCAGCCAATTTATCTTTTTGTGTGTGTAAAGCAGATTGTTAGATATTCTGGAATAAAGTGAGATCCAGAGTAGAGTTTCTCACTAGAGCTTCAGTTTGCTTCACTTCATCTTCAGCTTAGCAAAGGGCAGCAGCAGCAGCTTCCATTTAAATACGGGAGACAACAGGGTCTGCACATGCCCAGTTTGAAGCTTGTTCCATCTAGATACCAGCTTCACTTTAATGACAGTATAAAACTGATGCTCACTTAACAGTGCTGTTATCTTTTTTGCCTTTGACAAATTTGTCTGATTTTTAATGCTATGTCCACATTGTCCTGTATGAAACAAAAGCTAAAATGTTGAATTCAATACCTGTCATAAATAGTGAAACCTTCCTATTCATTTTAGCTGTATTGGTGAATTAGTTTTTTGTAGTCTGCTTTTAAAGAAGATACATGTTTACAGTTCTGCTGAAATTGCCTGAACTGAAATAGATTCTGATCTTTAGCAATGTGCTTGTGTGCATTTCTGTCTTGTAGAATTTAGGTCATGGTTATTTGTTGATCCACTTCTAAAAATAAAAAATAAGGATAAAACCTACTGACATCACCCTTTTCTGCTTTTCATTTTAAAAAACTAAACAAAAACCCCACACAAGTACTTTAGGCAGACAACAGCAAATAACTGCTTGTTTCAAGAACTATCTGCTTGCATTTCAATTGTTTTTAGTTAGGATGTATACGAGAAGATTCTTATTCACACGGCTCTTACTTTACATTGCACTGTGCAAAGACATGTGAATCAATGTATTCTCAGCTGAAGGCCCATTACTGTGGTAAAGTGAAGTTTAATTGCAGCAGAGAATTAGGCACAGAGTGTGAAAAAACTGCTCTAGCTTATACTGCCGGCTGAGTATCACAGATTTTAGACCTTCTACATGCTGCCAGAATTACCCTGATGCAGACTATTAGCTTTAATAGAGTTGGTAATAAAAATAGATTGGTATGAATGGTTTCTGGAAAGCCTTTGTGAGAAAGTTGTGGTAGTCATAGTGGGAACTGTATTCCCCCAGCTCTGCACATGTTCTCATTCTCACATACCTTTCCAAAAGTTAGCACTTGCAGTACCTAACTTTAAGTTGAGGGAGAGGGGATTGCATTTGTTTGCATGAACAGGAGCCATGCTTCTGCATAAAAGGCACTAATTTATAGTGCTGCCAATTTCATTTCCTTGATAGTAATTTTGTGAAGGTAATGTTTATGCTGTCACCAGGCCACTGAACTAACCAGAAGAAAACTTAAGACTCTACAGGCTCTCAAACTGAGAGACCAGAAAAGTAACTATTAGCAGACCTGTTGTGACAGGCAAGAGGGATGCCATTGAATATCTATGCCCTGCAGTGTTAGGTAGACACAACCAAGCCAGATCTAACTAGCCATGGCAGAACTCAGCCCAGAGGTGGTTGATCACCTGTCAGTTTTCAACTTTGTCAGTCACAGAATTGTTTTGGTTGGAAAAGGCCTAGAAGACCATCAAGTCCAACCATTAATCTAGCATGCTGCCAAATCCACAACTAACCCTGTCCCTAAGTGCCACATCTATGTGGATTTTAAACACCTCTAGGGATGGTGACTGGACCACTTCTCTGGACAGCCTGTTCCAGTACCTGACAACACTTTCAGTGAAGAAACTTTTCCTAATATCCAATCTGAACCTCATCTGGCAAAACTTAACATCTGAGATTCTGTGGTCATTTTCTAGGGTGTGCTCTTACCTTCTTCTAGGTGTGACAAGAGACACGTGAATATCAGGGCAATGGTGCATGGAACAAACTTCAAAGGCCATTGATACAAACTCCAAACCCCTCACTCTGTGTTCCTGCATACACAGTGTTTGCATGCAACACACTGTAGGTGTGAGGCAGAAAACAATGGTGTTGGACATTTTGAAGATCAGGACTTCAAGATAATTTTGCATTTTACTGCTAAAAAAAGCCAAAGATGTCATTACAGAAAGCCACAATATGAAACTGGCTCATATGATCTTCAAATAAAGCTTATTGGGAGTAGAGCAGAAAGTACATTTCAGTGATTGAAGTGCAGAAGGAAGAAGGCAACGGGAAATCTCCCATTTGTCTGAACTGTATGTTCACAGAAGTAATGTACTGTTATAACCTGCTCTTATCAAATTGGTAAGACAAAGTTTGAGACATATAATCTTTAAAGATAGGCATAAATACTAGATTAGAGGTGTTACTTGACTCAGTATTCCAATTTTCTTTGCTCAAATTCTCCTAGTGTTCTGCTTTGTCTTAGGTTTGCACAATGCCAACACTCAGTGTCTATATACAGCTCATTTAAGATTTCCTTTTCCCTGAGTCACAGATTACAATTATTTTCTTGTTTCCTCTCATCTTTATAACAAGTCAATGCACTGAAAATAGTTCGTTTCCAGTTACTCTGGAAGCATCCAATATTTGGCACTTTTAGGGGACCCCATAATGTTTGGCAGAGTAATAAAAATAATGGAATAAATGTAATATTTTTAAATCAAACATTATAGAAAATAAGTCCTGCTTCATTAAATATGGCATTGGTGTACATGCCTTTCCAGATATATTATTTTGATTAGTTCATCAACTCCTGAGAGTATATTATGAAAGGACATGTAGTATAAAGGAGAGAGGGGAAATTTTCTAAGTGAAAAGTAGATGCTAGTCCACAGAGAAAGCTCTCAATTTCTTATCCTTTCTTAGCTTCTGGGGTCTGCTTTTGTGAACCCTAAGCACTTGCAAGCTAGGTGATGTTATTTCTGAAAACTGGACCCTAGCACTAAGATTCATGTCCAATGGAAATGTTCTCATATATTACAGGTGTCTGACCCTGTGTTACAGCCAATTGCTACAGGCGATTCAGCAGACCTGTTTTATATGCAATACCTCAGCTTCCATGGCAGGAGAGGAGTCATGTCCTAGAACTGCAGAAGGTGTGAAGTGTGAGACATCTCATTCTCTGTACCTAGGGCTTGGAAAGTCAAAGACATAAAATAACAAATAAGTCACAAAATTTCTCTCTCAGGTCGCTTTTGTTCTACAGGCAGTATTAAACCAAAGAGAACAATACTGAGCAATAATTATTTCTCATAAAAGTAAAACTGTTTCACTTAAAGTTACCAGAATGCTTTCTGGAGGAAAATTTACCCTCTGTCTCTCCCTTTATTCTTCACTGAAAGCTTACCTCTGTTGTATTCCTGGGAAGCTTAATGGAAAAAATGTATCAGTTCATGACCCCAGGTACTTTCAAAAGCCATCTGGCACATCTAAAGTTTTAGCAAAATGTTATTATCTCATAAGAACACTGTCTCTATAAGTTTTGGTTTTCTTTCTCTGGGTCCAGCTGATCCAGACTGTTTTCCAACACCTTCTAGCATAACTGGTAATTCTGTTACTAGAGAATACACTGAGTGGGGCAAATGTGGAGTCTCTTTTCATCCACAGAGGCAGAGCATCCTGCAACAACTATAAGATGAGGTGGAGGGAAGAACTATTGATTTTTTCACTTGATAGGCTATCCACTTTCAGTATTTGCCTTTTAAAATGTGATACCATGCTATAAAATCTGAGTCCATAGCAGCTTTTCTTACAAGGACCCTCCTATATAGAAGTTGGGAGCCCTGGGTATCTGGGGCTATAACATCTGAAACAATGTTTCTCTCAGAAGCATTTTCAATAGCCAACTTTTGTACTGGTACCTGCAACAAGCTTACCTGCTTAGATATGCAGGTGCAAACTGGTTGCTCATTTTATACAGAAATTTGGTTTCCACCATCTGTGTTCTTCTTGCCTTTTAGCAGCTAAGATCTGTCAGGTGGGAACTCTTCCACTTCCTAGCTGTTCCCAGACAGCATGCTGCAATTTTGACACCCCAAATAACAGAGCAGAGAGCAAATTGTGTGATATTTATCTTTTGTTCTCTGTTAAACATAGAAATTTAGTTCTTCCTGACTGGAGTAACTTGGCAAGGGGACACGGAAGCAAGAACAACCTTTGTAAATATAATTGTTAAACTGAGTACAAAGTTCTGTATGGCCTTTTATGGGAGTACACTCCTGGGACTACCAAAAATCAGTGGACAAAAATAAAAAACAGTAACGTGGTTTATGCTCAGCTCTAGGAGTGAATAATTTGCCTCATAGTTAGTTCTAGTTCTATACGGTAGGCAAGATCTATGATGAAGAGCAAAAGCATGAACTGCAGGGTGCAGCCAGCAAGCGTGTAATAGAGTGAAGCAGTTTAGCCCCACAACAGGAGAGCAAGAATCTCAGGGCTGGAATGGGTACAAAAGGGTCAGATGATAAAGGTTGGCTTCGGAAAGTCCATTCAAACAGAATCTTGGGTTTTTTTCTAAGACTTACTAAAAAAAAAATATATCTTTTCCAAGATGAAAAGATTTTATCACTTATCTCTTCAAGGATATTTTCTCTGTAACATGGCATTAGACTGCCACTCTATGGCAAGACACAATCCAGCATGTGCTCTGCCTTAGTTTCCCCAGTAATGTTTCCAACTTAAGCTAGTGGCTTATAGCTTCAAGGCCAGGTAGCTTAAAGAGGTCAATACATTCCTGTGCCTTGTGTCCTTCACAGAGTCTGAAGACAGTAATCATATGAAGAGCTCTCTAGACCATCCAAGTTGCATTTGTAGTGCCTCCAATAAAAACTTCCTACCTTGTTCTGTGGGCTAAGCTCTCAGATTCATCCTTCCTTGTCTCCTGTGCTTTAAGTTCTCTGCAAAGCCTGCCCTTCTCCAGTGAACTCTGGTTAGCTTATCTCTAAGATAATACCATCTGGAAGCTTCCCTACTTCCAG